GTTCGACGGCCCATTTGGCCAATCGGCCCGACAGTTTGGGCTTATGCGAAACATATCGAAGTGGGTAAGTGGTTAATACATATATGGGGTGACATTGAAAATACAGTTTTAGCTTTCTAGAGGCGCTTATCAGTACAAGTGCCAATTTCTCTAAGTGTGGATATCTAGTTTCTGCTTCTCCTAGAGTTCGACTTACATAATAAATAGGGAATTGCGTACCTTGCTCTTCTCGAACCAAGGCACCACTTACCGCAATTTCCGAGACTGCCAAGTACAAGTAAAGTTTTTCATCTGCCTTTGGAGTATGAAGAAATGGTGGGCTCGTGAGGTATCACTTAAATTCTTCTAACGCCTGTTGGCATTCCGGGATCCAGGTAAAATCGTTCTTCTTTTTGAGTAGAGAGAAGAATCTATGACTCCGATTCGACGATCTTGATATGAATTGGCCTAGAGCAGCTATCCACCCTGTCAGCCTTTGCACAGCTTTAACGCTGTCCATGACGGCGATTTCTTCGATGGCCTTGATTTTATCGGGGTTGATCTCGATTACCCGATTCGACACCATGACGTCAAGGAACTTTCCCGAACCGACTTCGAAAATGCATTTCTTGGGGTTGATCTTCATGTTGCATTTTCTCAGTATCTCGAATGTTTCCTGCAAATGTGTCAAATGGTCCTCTGCGCGCAGGAATTTAACTAGCATGTCATCAATATATACTTCCATTGTCTCACCTACCTGTTCTTCGAACATTTTATTTACTAGGCATTGGTAGGTAGCTCCTGCATTTTTTTAGCCCGAAGGGCATTACATTATAAAAATATGTTCCATACTTGGTGATAAATGAAGTCTTTTCCTGGTCTTCCGGGTCCATTTGAATTTGGTTGTACCCGGAATAGGCATCAAGAAAACTAAGGATCTCGTGGCCGGCCGTGGCATCGATCATGCGATCGATGTTAGGCAGTGGAAAAGAATCTTTGGGACATGCCTTGTTTAAATCCTTATAATCTACACACATCCTAAGTTTTTTCCCTTTTTTAGGAACCACGACTATGTTGGCTAACCATTCGGGATATTTCACTTCCCGAATGGACCCTATTTTGAGAAGTTTAGTTACCTCATCCTTTATGAATGAGTATTTTACCTCGGACTGTGGCCTTCTCTTTTGCTTTACTGGTCTAAACTTCGGGTCCAAACTCAGTCGATGAGTGGTGATCTCCGGTGGGATCACTGTCATGTCAAGGTGGGACCAAGCAAAACAATCCATATTTTAATAAGGAATTTAATGTGTTTTTCCCTGAGCTCGGAAGTTAACCCGTGCCCAGGTATACCTTTCGATCGGGCAGGTGCTCGATCTGTATGACTTGTTCTAGCTCTTCGACCGTTGACTTTGTGGTATTGGAGTCATCAGGAATTACAAAGGTTCGAGGTATCATGCAATCATCATCCTCGATAATTTCCTGCTGTTTCGATCTGGTCGAAGCCGGTGATTGTGGTTGCTATTTGACCTTCTATTTTTCCTTTGATCCTGGTCCCTTTGTTGATGTTAGAGTCGACACGGATATCACCTCATCGATTGCAAACATCTGTTTGGCCACTGGTTGCTCGCCGTACACCGTTTTGACTCCTTCTGGTGTTGGAAATTTCAAGACTCTATGCATTGATTAAGGTACTGCCCTTATATTATGGATCCAAGGTCTTCCGGGCAGTGCATTATACCTCATATCTCCTTCAATTATGTAGAACTTCGTTTCTTGGAAAGTTCTGGCCACGTTTACTGGCAACATGATTTCCCTTTTAGTGGTTTCACTTGCCATGTTGAAACCGTTGAGCACTCGAGCTGCAGGCATGATTTGATCCTGAAGGACGAGTTGCTCCAAGACCCTCGATCGAATAATATTCGCCGAGCAACCTGGATCAACCAACACACGTTTAACTTGAATTTTATTCATAAGGGTAGAAATTACCAGTGTGTCGTTGTGAGGCTGTTCCATCCCTTCAGCATCCTCATCGTTGAAGGATAAGGTATCTTCTGGTAAGTAGTCCCGGGTACGTTACTCCCTTGTGATCGTGACTTTGGTACGTTTAAATGTTAGACCCTGAGGGATATCGACCCCACCGAAATGAATCACGTGCTACGGTTCCTCCTATTCGTTCTTCGTATTCGCATCCCTGTCTCTTAAGTGATTTTTTGCTCCGTCACTCAAGAAGTCTCGAAGATGACCTTCGTTAAATAAACGAGCTACCTCCTCCCTTGGTTGTCTGCTGTCTTCGGTTCTGTGACCATGGGTTCCATGGTACTTGTATGTTTGATTTGGATTCCTTTGAGCTGGATCAGTCTGTAGGGGTCGGGGCCACCTAGTATCTTTGATTCGCCCAATGGCTAACATAATACCTGAAGCATCGATGTTGAAGTTGTACTCCGATAACCGTGGCGCTTCCTTAGGCTCGACATTTTTATCAAAGCCACTCTTACTCAGAAGCCCTCGAGAATTTTGACCTCGATCATTCCTTCGCTCATTGCAAACGAGATTATGTCCTGATCCATTGTTCCTATGATCTGCGTTATAAGGTTGGTATCGATCTCTGATCGTTCGATCGGGGCTCCCTATCGATGTCTCTTCAAATCCTACCTTCGGATCTATTTGGATAAACGGAATCGGACGGGGCTCATAACTGATCATTCTCGACTCTGATTTTTGACTGGTACCGATTATGCACATCGGACCAGGTCACCACTAGATATTCAATCAAATTTTGCTTCACTTGACGTAATGCTACTGAACTTCGCTCGTTCAGAGCCTGAGTAAAGGCTTGGACAACCCAATCATCGGTAACCGGGGGTAGGTCCATGCGTTCCATCTAAAATCAAGATACAAATTCCCTTAGCATTTCATTGTCCTTTTGTCTCACTTTGAAGAGGTCCGACTTCCTAGTCGCGACCTTTATTGCTCTGGCATGTGTCTTTACGAACGAATCGGCAAGCATGGAGAAAGAATCGATGGAATTGGGGCGGCAAATTGTGGTACCATATCATTTCCCCCTTCGACAAAGTTTCTCAAAATTTTTTCACCAGAACGGATTCAATCTCATCATCTTCTAAGTCATTCCCCTTTATCCCGCATGTGTACGAGATGATGTGTTCATTAGGATCGATGGTCCCGTTGTACTTGGGGATGTCCGGCATACGGAACTTCTTAGGAATGGGCTTTGGAGACGAACTTTGAGGAAAAGGCTTTTGCATGAATTTCTTCGAATCCAAACCCTTTAGGATCGGGGGTGCCCGGCTATTTGGTCAACTCATGAGTTATACGTTTCTACCTTTTTGTCATTAGCCTCAATTTTTTTCCACCTGATTCTATCCGTTTCGTGAGCTCCTCGAGCATCTTCATAACGGGGGGATCAGCACCAGATCAATTATCGTTCAATTTCTCCTGTACTGGTTCGACCCTATGAACAACTTCTTGCGATGTATCGAATTCGATTCTGCTTGGTGCCCGATTCTGGAGTTGTGTTATTGCAGCCTGCTGAGTTTGTAGCATGTGAAATATCATTCGAAGGCTAATTCCGCCTTCTTCACCATTTTATGTGTTCCAATCAGCCGCTCGGGTGTCTCTGTGGACGCTATTTTCAGGGTCGGCTCCTAAATCCCCACGAATGGCGAAATGAGAATTGACATCAACCGGATCCACGGCCTGTGGTGCGTCAGGATTGATTGGAGGTACTCCATTTCCCGGGGCGACTACATACTCGTTTTCTCCATGAAGACCAAGGCCGGTGCCAGCGTGAGTGGGTACTGCTGGAGAGTTGGATATGTTGATTCCTGAAATAAAAAATACTCACAAGAACAAGCGTAAAAGCAGTGTGTGTTATGAAGGCTAAAATATTAAGCAATCACTATTATCCTTAGCCTCACGGCGGGCGCCAAACTGTTTACCCTAAAAATCGAGTAACAATTAAACTTGTAATTTGATTTTAAGAATACGTAATTTCACTTAATCCCAATTGATTAATTTGGAGTTAAGTGATGAAATTGACAAGAATATGAAACACCGACATTTGGACAGTATCCTCGAGCTGATGAACCCTCAATAATAGTAAAGCAAGAACAGTTAAAGAACAACAGTTGAAGAACAATAATTAAAGAGCAGCAAGCGGATGAGCAGAAGAAAGAAATAATATATTGCCTTGATCTGTATGAATGTGAGAGCCTACAAATGATGGGGATCCCTCTTTATATACTAGAGGAATCATAATTGAGGTACAATTCTAATTACGGAAGTAAATCTCATGATTGATACAAATAACTGCCCTTGATTTGATCCGTTCCGAGATTTCCGCCGTGATCCCCGACCGGTTACAGATATTTCGCATTTCCGTTATTGTGTTTCGCTTGAAGCCGGTCATATCCGATCTCGATCGTCGTGGACCTCGATCTCGACGGGTGCCTCGATCTCCGAACTAGCCACCTTGTCTCCGTGTTCAGGTCTGATCCTTTACGAGGCTGACCCTCGATGCAGTCCTCTGATCTCGAAATAATGACAATATCGGGCAAGCCCGATTTTACTCGTATACACATTGTACTTCAATAGATTTTTGTCCTCATCGCTTAGTTAACAATCTTTTAAAAAATATGTGAAATCTTTTTCAATAGTGTAATAAGCACGACTTTTGAGCGAAAATTTAGCCGAGTTCCTTCAAAAACAAACTTTAACAACCCACACCACATGATATATATACAGATTGACTTCTTACTAAAAATACTAGTAGTAGTATATAAGAAGTAGAACCTCACATGGTACCCATCTCTCGATGACACAAGTTGATAACATATGGAAATCACAAATTACATCACTATATAATTGCCTGAGATCTAAGCCAGAAATTTAAACCAAAGTTAGCCATGGAAAGAAAGATAGAGATAGTTTCTATGGAGTTAATTAGACCTCTTTCTCCGACTCCCAATCACCTTAGATGCTTTTAGTTCTCTTATTTAGATCAGATGGCACCACCTACATCTGTTCCCTTAGCTCTATTTTACCCTCCTCCTCTCCCAGATAGTGGCGAGGGAGCAAGGCAGCCAATTCATCACGATTACTTCTTTTGAAGAAATCTTTGTCTGAGATACTTGCTCGCTTTTACCCTTTTGCTGGTCGAATCAAGAACAGCTCAATTGAGTGCAACGACGATGGGGTGCCTTTTTACGAGGCATTTGCTTATAATTATCAGTTGGAAGACGTTCTTAGACAACCCGATGTGGATGTAAACTTCCTTCCTACTGTCGAAGACAACTCATTATTGTCCTATAGTACAGTTCCATTACTCGTTCAAGTCACCATTTTTGAATGTGGAAGCATGGCTATTAGTACGCGTGTTTCGCACAAGATTGTTGATCGTGCCTCCTCGTGCACCCTGATCGATGCCTGGGCAGTCACTACTCGAGGTGGCACCAAATTTGCAGTTCCAGAATTCGTTGCTGCTGCAAAATTCTTGCCACCTCCTAATCCTCAAGTTTCTACATTGCTTGAATCGCAAATAATCTCATGTGATAATAACCAACATATTAGTAAAATCTTTGTCTTTGATGCTTCTACTACTGCATCGCTCAAGGCTAAAGCCATCAGCGATGTAGTGCCAGTGCCCACGCGCGTTGAAGTTGTATCAGCTGTGATATGGAAATGTGCCATGGCTGCTACGTCAGGGATTGGGAGAAGGTCGTCATGCTTGATTCAAAATGTCAACATGAGAAAACGGTTCGTCCCTCCAATGCCAAAACATTGTGTAGGAAATGTCGTTGCAGTTAGCGTAGCCAGCTGCAAAGGTGAAAATGACTGTTCTGACTTGCCTACCTTGGTCTCTTGTATAAGAAAAGGTTTATTAGAACTGATTCCCAAATATAAGGATAAACAAGAACGAGATAAGGCGATTTTTGCCATTCCCTACAACAGCATGGAGCTCACGAGAGCATTTAGGCGTCGAGAGGTAGATATATACCTTAATAGCTGGTGTGGTTACCAATTTTATGATTGATTTTGGTTGGGGAAAACCTTCGTGGGTTAGTCCAATTGAACGTCACAAAAATGTTATTTTCTTGATGGATTCAAAATATGGTGGTGGAATAGACGCATGGGTTTGTTTGAAGGACAAAGAAATGGAAGCTTTTGAGCATGAGCTCAAGTTGCTAGCATTTGGATTTGACAAAAATTGAAGAGCTTTATATATATATATATATATNCACACACACACACAGAGATATATATATATATATATATATATATATATATATATATATATATATATATATATATATATGTATGTATAAGATTTGGAATCGTCGCGCAACAATCGTTCTTGTTATATTGTACCGTAGTAGAATAAAGCTTATCTACTTCTGGTTTGAAAATTTTAATTCTCATGTCAATTATATGTCGTGAAGTCTTGTTAGACATTCCGCTGTTGTGATTTTCTCTTTTCCTATTTTTGCCTATATAATTCTGATTGACATGAGATTATATTGATAGGAAATTATCAATATAATATGAGATTCCTTGTTAGTACACTTCTAATTATAATAGGAAATTATATTGATATCTAATTAACCGATGTAGATCGATCCGTTCCGAGATTCACACCACGATTCTCGATCAATCGCGAATATCTCGCATTTTTCGTTATCAAGCCATGCCAGTGTCACTCGAAGTCTGCCGCTTTGTGTCTGCAATCGAGGTCGACCTCGACCCGGACTCGACGTCCTATCTCTTTGACGTGACATTCCTATCTCGACCAAGAAGTGAAATCGGGTAGCCCCGATTTCACCGTATACAGATAGTCCCCTCGTTTCTTAGAGTAAAACGATAAGAAACGACTTGAGCCTCGATTTTCTGGCGACCCTGATAATGTTGTCATCCCCGTGACATAAGCAATTGAAGTGACCGAAATGTCCTGTAGGTACAGTTCCCCAAATCATTAATGCTTGCCAGTGACGTTCGGCCACTAGCACCACCAAACCGTCGCCATGAATCTATAAATTCAGGCTCTTTGGTTGAATCAAATTTTACTTTCACCTCCACCAAGTTTTCCGAGTTCCTTACTCTCTCCATCTCTTCTCTTTCACCACCCATTGAATCAACTTAGTTAGCACCAAAAATACCAATTTCCATATCTTTCCACTTCCTTCTACCTGAATCAATGGCGAAAACCTCCAAGATCGTCCCACAAAAGGAGAAAGCTTCTTCCTCTTCTTCCCAGCCGGCCGGTGACAAAACGCTGGTGGAACCACTCCCTCACTAGTACGTTACGGCCCTTGTGTCTTAAAATCCGACTTCAAATTCGAGAACCCTCCGTCGGTCCCTAGACGATGTGAACACGTGTCTAGATATATCTGCTCGATAAAGGCGAGCCATCTCAAGGCTGTGAAGAGAGACTGTAACTGGGGGGGCAGATGTCGTGGTACAAATCCCCGCTCCCGAAGAGAGTATTACCACCCATGTGGAGGGGTTTCTAAGTGTCTACACATATCCCTTCACACTGGGTCCTCTTGACCCAATTATCGTCGATTTTTGCAAGAGGTACCAGGTCACCCTCGGTCAGGTTCATCCCTTGTTCTGGCATATAGTAATCAAGCTCCGCTTCTTTTCTAGCAAGGCCGAGGGGTTGGAATTCACTCTCAGCCACTTCATACGGTTGTATCGACCTTGACTTTTTGGAGGATTAATCAAGCTCCAACGCCGATCAACGAAGTCCTTTTTTGCGAGCATCGATGAGGACAAGGACCGTGGTTGGATGAGCCGGTTCGTGAGGGTAAGGACCTGCGACCTCATCCGAGAGGAGAAACTGCCGTTCCCCGAGAAGTGGAACCCCGATCGTAAGTAACGTATTAGTCATTAGTCTTCGTACTCCATCTTTTGCTTTGTGTAATGCCTTCATCTATTATGCAGCGGTTTCTTGGATGCCTTACGCGGTCCTCGATGTCGAAGACTAGGTTCGGAAGTTTGCCTCGACTTCCTCCCATGCCGAGTGCTGCTGGCATGACTTGGCAAAGGCAGATGGGAAGCAAAAAATCATGGTAAGTTTATCCTATAAGCCTTCGATGCCTTTTTCCGTAACGTTTCTCTTTATTTATACTTGACTCTCTTTTATGCAGGCCTTGGAGATGTTGCTGACATGAGGCCAGCCCTGCCTGGGGAAGAGACCGAGTCCCCGATTCCAAAGTCGGGAAAATATAACAAGAGGAAGAGGGTCTCGGAGTCCGAGGACTCCCAACTTAAATGGGCTCTAGTTCAAAGGCGCAGGAGAAATCTCATCCCTGTGGCTATATAGTCGGTCCACCTACTGGGGGAAGAAGAAGAGGAGGATGAGGGCGATGAATCGGAGCTAGTGGTTCGAGCAAGGAAGCTGGTCGAGGTCGCTAAGCCTTCCGAGTGGGGGGCGATTGTCGAGACCCTGCCTCGTGATGAGGAGGCTTCGAAGAAAGATTCGGGCAAAACCCCCGAATCGCCTGAGGTTGAGATTATCCCTCGACCATCAACAAATATACTGGAGGGGGCCGGTTCAGAGACCCCTAGGGCTAAACAGGGCGCCCCGAGTTGTTCGCTCGGGGTTGTGACAGTAGGTCACTCTCCTTCTCTACCGGCCTTTTTTGAGGAAACTATAAGGGGCGCTCGGGCTCTACATACCCCTGACATAAGCGGAGATCCCAGTGAAGAGGATCTCTTCCGGGATTGTTTTACCGGGGTGATGTTGTCGTTGATCTCAATGATGCGTCCATCCTTTTTTAAGAGGCCCAACGTCTCCTATCTCGAGTAAGCATTAGTTGCTGCTATTCCTTTCCTTACTCTTCTTTCTTCAAGTCTGACTTGTATTTTTCTTTTTTATAGGCCTTTGCCAAGTCTCGAGCCGACCTGAGTCAGTGTGAAACCGAGCTCCAAAAAGTCTCGGAGGAGAGGAACACTCTAAAGCTTCTTTGCGGCCAAAAGGATGAAACTCTGAAGGTCCTTCGAGCAGATTTGTCCAAGGCTCGTAAGGAAGAAGCCGAGCTAGACGAGAAGGTAACTATCCTTTAGAAAGAGTACGGACTCGACCCAACTGTGGAGGCTAATACTTCAATATCTCAGTTGCAGTAAAAGGTGGAAAGGATCGAGCTGCTCCGGGGGGAAGTCGATCAAACCAAAGTTGACTGTGATCGGTGGAAGGAGAACATGGACCGCCTCGCTGCGGAGAAAGAGGCTACCTTGGCCAAACTTTCATCGGCCGAGGTCCAACTTCGAAGTATTAAAGAGAAAAGCTCAGCCCAGGCCAAAAGGACCGAGGAGCTTAGAGCCGAACTTGCTGAGGCCAAGGCGTAGGTCAAGAAGACGAGGATTATGGCTGACAAGTCCATAGTCGTGTGCCTGGCCGATGCCGAGGCTGCTCAAACGCAACTAAGGGAGGCTTCTGATCGAGATCGAAAGATCAATGACTTGGTGAAATGCCAATCCTGGAGGGAGACCCTCGAAGAGATCCACGCTCAAGGTTTTTACCTCTCCGAGGAGATAGCCCGAGCCAAGGCGCTTGAAGCCGATTCCTGGCTGCTTGCCCCCTCCGATGATGAAGTTGATGATGATGAAGGCAGTTGAGGCGGATCCGACAATGGCGAGGGGCCTGAAGGAGAAGCTGTGTAGTTAGGACTTAGCTTCTTTTTCTTTTTTATAAGACCTCTATCAGTCTCTTGTACATATCAATATATAAAGGAAATTTTCTTTTGAATGCCTTCTCAATTTTTATCTTCAAACACGTTTTGTGCCTTGTAAAAGTTTAGCACAATCTTATGCTTTGAACGGTGCATTCGAGGTTTTGGTTTTGGGTGGCTTCCTCGAAGTCACCACAGAAGAGTTCGAATAAAGTTTGAACTTGAAGCATATGACCTTTAGGGTTTGTGTCGAATAATGATGAGTCCCCGAGCCATAGTTAAGTCAGCTTTTGCTTGGGCTCGGAATAGTCGAACCCTTAGGTTCGGATGGAGTGAGAACAAGATCTCGAACTCTAAGTGCATTGGCCCTTAGGCTCTTTAGATTGGGCCGATATGGCCTCTAAAAGATGGCTATTATTCCCCTCTTTCGGCTTAAAATACTTAGTAAAAATTTCTTCATGCCTTAGCACGTATTTTTTACCCATTAGGTTTTTTGAGGATTCGATGTCGATTGAAACCCTTCTACTTTTTGTGGCTTAGCACGTTTGTGTTAAGATAATTTGATACCTCTTAAGGTTTTTCGAGGGCTGATTTTATCAAAGCCCTTTTGATTATTTGCCGAGGGTAGCCTTTTTTTACCTGTTTTTCAAAGAATTTGAAAGTCTATTTTTATTGCAGGATCCGGACGTCTCGGAGCCAAATTAATTTGGCCGTAGCCTTCGGGTATGCCTCTTGGGCTTATTCCCCAATAACACTTCAAACTTGTTCGAAGTGTTAGTTCTCGAGAATGATGGCCTTGGCGTATAGATCGAGGGGTGCCTCTTTGAAGTATTATGAATTTGAGTTTAAATAACTCGAATATATCGATCGCCGACGACAGTCCCCGAGTGTTCGAGGCATATTTGCCCTTGGCCCTTGAGCCATTTCCCACAAAATCACAAGTATGGAGCTCGTATAGTAGAAAATTTTCTTTGACACAAGATGTTTGATATAGAAAGAATACTTCTTTGAATAATTTATACATGCGTCATGTTTTGCTATCGGGGCTCGACTAATCTATATGGACACGGTTCATTCGACCGTTTGGTCCATTACAAAGCTTCCCTATCGAGACCCTTTAACATGAAGTACATTCCTTGAAAATACAACATCCGAGGGTGATTCCCCCCAACATTCGAGGTTGATTGTAAAGAAGCCTTGGATACTGTTGAATTTTCCTCGGGTAGCACATAATTTTTGCCTCGTTAAAAACCTCACCGGAAAAATCCATTTTGGACAAAAACCGATCTATGGAAAAAAAGAGTGCAACACATACTTTAAAACCTGAGGTCTCGATGTCTTCGATCGAACATCTTAGCAATAA